TCTGTCTGTCTATCTATCTATCTATCTATCTATCTATCTCTCTGTCTCTCTCTCTCTCTCTCTCTCTCTCTACAGCACACAGGTGGATCTACGATCTTGCAGACAGTCATGTTGTCTTGCAGTATTTGGCGTGGGTCGCTTATTCTCTGTTTCTAATGTGTTTCGCAGCAGGATTTGCAAACATAGTGTCAGTTCAGGCCGCTGGTGAGACGCACACATTCACAAAGCATCGTTACTGTACATACAGTATAAAGCAAAGCATAATTTGTGAGCTTTTACAACAGGTGTCATGCGATGAAGTCTCTGTGTGATTCTTCATACAGTAGCTCGTTAGTGTTTGTGTGTGGTTCAGGGTCTGGGATTCCTGAAACCAAGACGTCTCTGAGAGGAGTGATGCTGCAGGAATATTTCACCTTCAAAACATTAGTGTCCAAAGTCATCAGTCTGACCTGTGTGCTCGGAAGTGAATTACCTGTGGGCAAGGAGGTAAACACACACACACGCACGCGCACACACACACACACACACACACTCCCACACACACTCTCACACACACACACAAACATGGAACACAAAAACAAATTTGCAAGCTGCTCTTCTCTTTAGAATTAACATGGTGCTTGTAAAGGCAGAAAAAAACATAATGAAAAAAGTATCATAACAGTAGTTTTACAGTATATGAGGAGCAGACACTAATTTCAGTCGTTATTTGTAAAAATCTTCCTGTCTTCCATAAATCTCTTTCCTGTAGCTCAAACAGTCATGGGTCAGATTCCCAGGGAATGCTTGAAAACATAAGAAAAAAAAGATTCTAAAAAAATTCCAGCAAGTCCTCAACACTACAGCAATGTTTCTACAACACTCCCACAGAGTTTTATCTAGTTAGTTTATTATGCAATTATAGTTTATATTGATATTTTGATTATTTTGATTATTTTGGTTCAAATGTTTTTTTTAATATGTCTATGTATTTTATTTTTATTTTACTTGTATTTTCTCATTTTCAAATAAATCAAAATGAGAAATATTGCATCGGCAACTATCTAAAATACAGTAAGTTTACATTTCTATATGTTATTTTATTTCAGTTACAGTTTATTGTATTTCAAGTAATGGATTTTTTAGCTAGCTATGATAACACTGGTTTCAAAAGCACTAAACTGTAAATATGACTTTAAATTGAAATGTGATGAAACCACACCCTCTAGAGGACAAAAAACATGTGCACTTTATCTGTTTCAAGTGTGCAAACTTATTCTTGAAGTTTCACTCTATTTAAACTATTTTAAAACTTTTAAAAAACTGATCTTTTATTTTTAATTGCCATAATTCATATACTTTACAAAAATACACCATGGTAATCAAAATTATCATGAACCGCAGTTCACAATAGAGTAGCCATTAAAGTTATTGATTATTTTGAGAGACTATTGTAGTTTTTAATAACATTTTGAATATTTTTTTTTTTTTTCAAATTTTCCTTTTAATTTTAGTTAAAGATCACTAATTTTGCTGTTTTTGTCATTTTTAGTCATTTTTAATGTATATGTCTATTTATGAAACAATGAAAATGAGAAAAGTTGCTTTAGAAACTAGCTATATTTATATTATTTAATTTTATTTTATTTCAGTTACAGTTAATTTGATTTCAAGTAATAAAATAAAGTAATAAAGTAATAAAATAAAATGTTTTCTGTCCTGTAGGGTCCGTTCGTGCATGTCGGCAGTGTGTGTGCTGCTCTTCTCTGCAAATTCATGTCGCTCTTCAGTGGCATTTATAAGGTATTGAAAAACTTTATTATAGCATTCACTGCAGTAGATTTGTTGTATTTAGTTCTTGTGTGTTTTGAACAGAATAAGGCCAGAAACGAGGAGATGCTGACGGTCGGATGTGCTGTGGGAATTGGCTGCTGCTTCGCTGCTCCTATTGGAGGTGAGAAAACGTGTCTGTTTGTGTGTGTGTGTGTATTTGTGTGTGTGTGTATTTGGCGCCGTTACGGAGATATGACCTTTCAAAGTTTCAATGGCTTTCCTTAGACTTTCCATAGCGTTATATGTTCTTTAAAAAAAATTTCATATCGGTGGCATATCGGCGGCATATTCGCCGATACGATATATCGGCGACAGGCTCATATCAGCCGATTATATCAGCTAAACGATATATCGGTCGGGCTCTAGTGTGCACGTGTGTGTGTGTGTGTGTGTGTGTGTGTTAACTGTTATGTGTAAGAAATGTCAAATATCATGTTTCTGTTCAGATGTACACCACCATCCAGTAAGAATTTTCAAATAAATGAATACTTTTATACTTTTATTCATCAAGCATGCATTAAATTGATTAAAAGTGACAGAAATTATATTTATAATGTTACAAAAGATTTCTATTTCAAATAAATGTTGTTCTTTTGAACTTTCTATTCATCTGTGAATCCTGAAAAAATAAAATGCATCACAGTTTCCACAAAAATATTGGGCAGCACAACTGTTTCCAACATTGATAATAATCAGAAATGTTTCTTGAGCAGCAAATCAGCATATTAGAATGATTTCTGAAGATCATGTGACATTGAAGACTGGAGTAATGATGCTGAAAATACAGCTTTGAGCACAGGAATAAATTACATTTAAACATACATTCACAATGAAACAGTTATTTTAAACTGCAATAATATTATATAATTTTTACTGTATTTTAGATCAAATAAATGCAGCCTTGGTGAGACTTGTTTTAAATAAAATCAATCATTCAGAAATTGCTGGTAAATTTCACTAACAAGTACAAAGAAATGACAAGTAGCACATTAAACTAAACATGAAATAGACTGAAAGAGTGCTCAAAATTGTGCTGGTTTTGTCTGATTTGTGAGTTTTTGTGTGTGTTTCAGGTGCGTTATTCAGCTTAGAGGTCACATCTATGTTTTTCGTCGCACGAAACTACTGGCGTGGATTTCTGTCTGCTACGTTCGGTTCCTTCATCTTCAGACTTCTGCCGGTGTGGAACAGACAGGAAGGTGCGTGTTTGTTCAATGCATATGTATATTAATAAAGTGATAAGCCACATTGGGCTGTATTTGTAACACCAGCAAGTGCTCTTACTTGTTTGTACTTGAATGAAATGCACAGTCGATGATGATTTGATTTTCTATCTCTCTCTCAGAGACACTTACGGCTCTTTATGCAACAAAATACAGGCTGGACTTTCCTTTTGACCTGCAGGAGCTTCCCATCTTTGCTGCGATGGGGTCAGTAGTGTTATTTTAGATGCTATTATAGTTTTAATAATATATATTTTTTTAATTATTTTTAATATATGTCTATATTTTTTATAAATTTTTATTAATTATTTACAATAATAACACTGATTCTACTGATTCTTTCACTGTCATGTTTTAGTAAATGCAGAAAGGGGGTCTGAATACTTTCCGTACCCACTGTATATATATATATGACAAAAATAAGTGGAATTTTTATTTTATTTTATTGTAAATACAACAAATATTTTTGGAGCATGTTTTAAAAGTTAATATGTGTGCAAGTCATAAAAATAGCAGTAGCACACAAAATGTATACTTACATGACAAGCAAAATTTCTTAACCTATTAAGGCTTGTATATTTGTTTTTGTGGCACTAGCAGATATTTTATGTGTTTAGGCTTAAAAATGAAATTTTTCTCTACAGAGATACTCCTTAAATGTCTATAACTGTTGTAAAACGTCTCAGGTTACTTATGTAACCATGGTTCCCTGAGTAGGGAACGAGACACTGCGTCCTCTAGGGGTAGTGACGTCATGGCTGTCGCCGGCCAACGAGTTGGTGTTTTTTCAATGTATGCTTCAGACACGGGTCACGACGAGGCGTTCCCCCATAGCGACCCCTAGAGGACGCAGTTCGAAGTTCCCATGAAGGGGAACTGCTGTAATGCACTCCTCTCATGGTTTTTAACGCACAAAGTTTTCTCTCTGCAGGATCGTATGTGGCTTTGGTGGCGCCTTCTTTGTGTATTTGTATGGAAAGATTTCTCTGTTTGTGAAGAAGCAGAAAGCCACGAACAGCTTCCTCATGAAGAAGTAAGTGATTCCTACAGCAGAACTAACGATAAGGGTAAAATGTCATGAAAAATAATATTAGATAATAATAGAATTTGCTGTATATATTGTAAAAAGTCTATGATGTGTCAAATATGTCTTTGTTTGTGTTTAATCATGTGTTTTCTGTCTAGTTGTTTCTTATATTCCGCTTTGGTCTCTGTGCTGATTTCAACGCTCACTTTCCCTCCAGGCTTTGGGCAGTTTATGGCTGGACGGGTAACACACACACACACACACACACACACACACTCCAGTGTTTGTTCCCCAGGCTGCTAAATCCATCCAGTTAATAATTTTAATGAGACAGCCGAGAGAAACATTAAAGCATTTATTAATCAATCTCAACAACACTCACTCATATAAAATACAGCATCATCATCTCTTTCTCTTTTATACACTCACTCTTGTTCTCTTTAATTAATCAGTGACTCAAAATGAGGCAATAAAATGCTCCATTAGCAGCAAATGCAGTCATACGCTACAATAAAATTGCCTTATTTAAATACAGTGCATGCACAATTAGCAGTTAAATGAAACATGAAAGCCAATGTCTTTTTAAAGGAATAGTTCACCCAAAATGAAAATGTGTTCACCCTCGGGCCATCCAAGATGTAGATGAGTTTGTTTCTTCATCAGATTTGGAGAAATGTAGCATTGCATCAGTGTCTCAGCAATGGATGCTCTGCAGTGAATGGGTGCCGTCAGAATGAGAGTCCAAACAGCTGATAAAAACATCACAATAATCCACAAGTAATCCACAGCACTCCAGTCCATCAGTTAACATCTGGAGAAGACAAAAGCTGAGACTAATCCAGCATTAAGACGTTTTTAACTAAAATATGAGTCCATAATCCATAATAACTCTTCCTGCATTAAAAAAGTGTTCTGGTGTGAATCAGGAGAGAAATCTGCACAGATCAAGCAGCGTTTAAACAGCTCTAAACAAATATGTGGCTGGATTCTGATGTGAGAGACAACAGGAGATCCATTTTTTCACTGCAGGAAGAGTTATTATGGATTATGGACCCTATGGTATTTCAGTTAAAAAGGTCTTGATGCTGGATTTGTTTCAGCTTTTGTCTTCTCCAGATGTTAACTGATGGACTGGAGTGCTGTGGATTACTT